CTCCACGTGCGCAAAAGACAAAAAAGATGGCAATGTATTTCTCCGTGTTCTAGCAGTGGATTCAGTCTCATTTGCACATTTGGAAAGTAGTGCAGCGAGGCCCTCAGGCCAAAACGAAAACAACGGGCGGGACAAAAGCAAACCCGCAGAACGACAGAAAAAAGAAAGAAAAGGAAAGAAACGAACAAAAGGAAACTGGCAAAACGACCTCATACGCGACTCAACCGGTGTATCTCCCCACGTCGAGGCACTGCACTGTGTACTTCGGGCCTGCCCCCACCGATCCCAACGGCCTCCCTTGGGCCCGCCGCCACCAGTCCCACCGCGTTTCCCAACAGTGGCAGCCGGGTCTCGCGGGAGCGTTACCCAAGACCCACCATTCCCTTAAAGATAGTAAGGGAAAAAACAAAAAAAAGGGGGGGTCCAAATACAGGGTTTTTAGAAGGGGGAAGAAAAAACAATGACCCCCCGTTTTTGTTTTTTTTCAGAATCTTTTTATTAAATCTATCTATTGAAAACCCCCCTGTTTTGTTTTTTTACTTTTTTTTTTTAATTGATTGATTGATTGACTGATTGATTGATTGGTTGGTTGATTGGTTGATTGATTGGTTGATTTTTTTTTTTGGATTGATTTATTTATTGATTGATTTATTTATGAATTGATTGATTGATTGATTGATTGATTGATTGGTTGGTTGATTGATTGATTGGTTAGCACACGCACACACACACACACACACAAACACACACACACACACACACACAAACACACACACACACACACAACCCGCTGTTTTTTTTTTGATTGATTGGTGGGGAAGGGTCCGCCCTTCCCCCTGGCGCACACACACACACTTACACACACACACACACACTTACACACACACACACACACACACACACGAAAAAAAAAATAAAAAAAATCCCTTTTTTTATTACGTTTCTTTTGATTAAAATACTTGTTTTTCCGTTCTGTGTGTCCGAAACTCGATTCAACCGGGGGGTTCCCATTGAAAGGTTCAACGGCCATTGAACCCCCATTACAATGCCGCGCTATACCACGTTAGAACGCGGTACACGCGGCCCGTGAAACTTTTTTTCGCAGGCAAAAAATAATTAAAAAAAAATAAAAAAAAAATGGGGGTGTAGATTTGTTTGCGCTCTACATCTCCATATTTTTATTTCTATTTTTGAGAATTTAAATTATTTAAAAAAAATCAAGAACCTAACCAGACTCAAAACACATCGATTTTTTTTTTTTTTTTTTGATTGATTGATTGATTGATTGATTGATTGGTGGGGGATCGGTCGCCCACCCCCACCCCCACCCCCACCCAATCACACACATACACACACACACACTTGCGAGGGATTTGTTGTTGTTTTTTACTTTTTTTTTTTTTTTGATTGCTTGCTTGAGTGCTTGATTGATTGATTGGTTGATTGTTGATTAATTGATTGATTGGTGAGGGAGGGGGTGACCCCTCCCTCCTCCTACCCACCCAATCACACACACACACACACACACACACACACACAGAGGGTTGTAGAATAGAATGTTCTCTTTTCTTTTGTTTAGTTTTCTATTAAAAAAAAAAAAGTCAAAATTAGAAAAAACAAATATGGGCGTGTAGGGCTTTTCAAACACCACACGCCCTTTTTTTCTTTTTTTTTTCATCCATTAAAAGAAGTAAGAGAAAAAAAAAATAAAACCCTGACGCCAATTTTTTTTCTTTTTGTTCAACGGCATAGGGTGCCATTGGGTGCAGTTCCTAATGACATCCGGATAGAACTGTCTGGTGGCTATATATATATGGGGCCTGTAGTTCATTGTCTGGGCCTGGCGTCCAAAGTTCCCATTCGACAAGGTTCGTCCGATTCCGCTTCCACCAGGGCTGGGCAATCTATCAGCCCTGGTGCCGATCACTGCTGTTCGGTCCAAGTTGCCTGCCCGTTGGTAGGGCAATGGTCCTGAGTGTTGGTCACACTGAGGTTGGGCGGAGCACTCCTTCAATCACGAAGTGTATGGAGGGCGTCAGGATCACTGCTGACAGTCTGACAGAAGTTGATTTTATTCCAGAAAATGTGGCAGTTACTTTGTTCACTGTTGTTGCAACCACCAGCAGCAGATCATTTGTGATCTGATGGCTGGGAAGCACTCTGCCGTAATTTCAGGTGGGAGGTCTCTTTTTTTTTTTTTTTTTGCCATCCTCCTGTTTTCTCAGCCCAGAAATTCGTAATGAACCTGTCAGCCCGCTGCCACTCAGTGTAACACTGGAACGGCCACATTCCTATCCGACTGCTAATGGGACCATGCTCCTGGACTTTAGGGAGAAAAATAAATAAAAATCGACGGGATTCGACGGGGATTCAACGGGATTAAACGGGCTGATTTTGTTTTTCGCTCCACGCGCGTCCAGCGACGTGTCCGAGGCCCAATGCGCCCTCCCTTTTGAACAGTATTCAACGGGGAGGGCCCGTTGTACTATTCAACGGGGATTCAACGGGGCCCCGAGGGCTATCCAACGGGTACAACGGCGTTGAAACTTTTCCGTTGCACATTGAATAGACACATAGTTTCCATTTTTTATTTTTAAAAATAAAAAAACACTTCTTAATCCAATTCGGTTGCACATTGAATAGACACATAGTTTCCATTGAATAGGGTTGTAGGGACTTTCAAACCCTACAACCCGATTTTTTTTATTTTTTTTTGGTCCATTAAGTTTTGTTTTCTAAATATGTAAAATTCTCGGCTGCGCCCAACCGCCGGGGCCATGGCCTGCGGTTGGGATCCTGACTGCAATCCGAGTTTGACCCCGCGGTCAGGACCGCAGGGGTTTCGTAGCTCAGGATCCTGACTGCAATCCGAGTTTGACCCCGTGGTCACGACCGCAGGGGGTTCATAGCTCAGCATTAACCAAATGCTAAGCGGATAAAGTTTCGATAAGCGGAAAAAAAAAAAAAAAAAAACAGGAAATTTACACAGATACGGTACCTTGACGTAGATAAGCTGAAATTTTAAAATAACCAGCAGATGACCAGAACGCCAGAAAACCGAGAAAATCAGATAAAGAGGTGCATTTTGAATTCCAGCAATCCATTTTTGGGCTCGTTCCACTAGGGTTAATTTAATGGGCCTCCTGAGTCATCTGCTGCTGCCGCTGTGGCGGCTGTGCCTCCCTCTTTGCTGCAGAAACTGTACAACCCGGACATCAATCAGGTCGCAGTGAGCAGCAGTCCCCGCTTCAGACCCCTGTAGCCGGATTTGCCCAGTCCCTTCTCCAGCTTCATTCACTGCCAGAGAAGAAGAAGAAGAAGAAGAGACTGTTTCACTCCTCCCTAGACCTTGCTGGTCAGCTTTGATGTTCTGGTGGTGAGCGAGATTCAGTAGAGCAATGAAGTATCGCTGAGGAGAGGTGTTGGCGTAAGGAAGGCTGCAGCTTTTCCGGCACGCGCCCCACAGATCCCCCAGCGAGCATTCCCTCGACTCTGAATGCGTGACATAGGTGGAGATTTGCGCCGACAGCAGCCTCGAGAGCGGCTCCAATGCAGTCCCCCGGTTCTGTTCTTGCTGATGCTCTTGCTGCTTCCTTTCTTTGATCATCGCCTCTTCGATCAGTTGATCCAACTTGACGACATCTCGTTTCCGCTTTGCACGACACTGAGAGCGCACCGAAAACGTTATTCCACAGGACTGACTATGCGACACTTGCGAGGATAACAAGACATCGGAACTCTGAGACTCTTCGTGCGAATGAGGAATGCGATGATGATGCCCAGCCTGAGGAGGATCGTAGTGGAGAACGTCAGCGTGTTGACCATGTTGCTGATGAGCAGGGAGATGTCCCTGCTCCTGCGCCTGACAAGGACCTGGGACTGGAGCTGGTAGATCAGCAGGAGGCTTACAGGTCAGGCCACAGTTCTCCGCCTGACGTGGATGCGGCTGCTGCGATGATGATCGTGGTCGGCATTCCTCATCAGGCTGCATGAGCACGTTCGCAATCTGATGAGGGTCATGAGGCTGATTCCGGACAAGATGCAGATTCTTCAGAACCTCACCTTCGGTGTTCTCGTTCTCTGGTGCTGTTCCCACTGTTCCCACTGTTCCCACTGTTCCCAGCTTTATCTGATCTGGGAGTTGAGAAGGCATGTCCAGAATTTGTGGGACTTGTGGGACTCGTGTAACTTGTGGGACTTGTGGGACCTGGGACTTGTGTTCCATGTTCATAATGTGTTCTTGGCAGTGCCCAGCCTGATGGGGAAGTTCAGAACAGGTTCTGCTGTTCTGCTCCAGGCAATCAATCTTTGCCGCACCAGCCGATGTTAACAGCACATTGTCAACCAGACGCGGTTCTTGCAACATTGGTTCAACAGAATCAACACCGCAGCCTCCTGGCCCTCCTCCACCCGACTCACATATTAGACGCTCTGACAAAGGATCAGGAGCATCTGGACCACTGTGTACAAAACGATGGACACCGTTCGACTTCATTGCAGTTTGGCGGATGGTATGGGCTTCACCTTTTTCCTCCTCCTCCCTCTCGGCTATCCTCTCCAGTGTCTCCACCTCCCTCTCCTCTTCCCTCTCATCTTCCCTCTCGGGCCTCTCTTCCTGTTCTTGTTCTTCTTCTTGTTCTTCAGATTCTTCTTTGTTGCCTTCAGTCGTCTCGAGGATCTCAGCAGCCATAGCACTGATAGCAGCCATAGGATTTTGCGCAGACGCTGAATTAGAGTGGTCATCATTATCGTCTCGGACATCTCCTGCATTTGAAGATTGTTTCCGCCTGAGGTTGTTTTTGAATCCCATTCGCCTGTTAAGCGCCGTCTGAGATTTAATGGTGGTGGGACGATGGCGAGGAGCAACTCCTTGGACTTGTTCCGTTACGACAGCTGCCTTGACGTGACCAGTGTTGGCCATGCTCATGCCATCACCGATGTGAAGAGGATTGGCATAATGAACAGCAGCCTGAGTATCCATGTCATGCACGCCCGGTGACGCCAACGTCCGCTTTGCCATTCCAGTGATTCCACTCTTCCCACTTAGGCATTCAACACTCACTCTACTGACAATCTCCTCGCCGGCTGAAGGCGGTGAAGGGGGCACCTTTCTACCATCCTTGAGAGTCCCACTTGCACTTTGAATACTCCTCACATTGCTCACAATGTCCCGACCGGCTGAAGGTAGCAGCTTTTGAAATGCATGAGTCTCCAGGACCTTCTCGACCTTCTCTTTGCCTTGGCAAGTCGTTCGAGTAGAGAATTCCTTCGCTTCCGTACGATAGCTCATCAGCTGACCTTCAAGTTCAACTTGAGTTTTCATTGAAAGATGAGCATGCCCATACGTGTCCAAGGGCATACATTTATCACCGTCTCCACAGTGAGCCATTCCCTGAACTTGGACAGGTGCGTGACTCGCAGGAGCATCACGACCACTGTTCATTCCTTCAAGTTGATGATGACCATGGTTCTTCTTCTCCTCCACAGAGTCCACACCCAACCCATCCCTCATCATCATCGTCTCCATCTCATCATCTTCTACTCCCGAAATAGCCACGGGGCAGGCTACTGCCGCAGTTTCCTCCGCCGCAAGCCCCCCAAGGCAAGCAGCATTCTTGCTACTGTAAAAGTCAGCTCCTGGAGAATCAGCAGCTGCAGTCAACAAACCCGGGACCACATCACTTCGATCAGGATGATCGCGGCTTCGAACCATTGCGTTCATCTGTGGCAAAACGCTCCCTGGTGGTTTTGAACCCTTTAACGAAGAAGCATTCTCCTCTTTCTCCTCCCTTTTCTCCTCATCCTTCTCCTCCTTCTCCTCCTCAGGCTCCTCTTCCTCCTCTTCCTCTTTCCCCAACGGCCATTTCATTGATTCCCAAAGGTCTGTCGGATGATTGCTCCCCCTAGCGGACTGACCGGCTGCCGTCGGCATTTCCCTGCCATCCTTTGACCGGCGGAGGGGTATCTCCTCCTCCTCCTCCTCCTCCTCCTCCTCACAGGTTTTGTGCTCAGCACGCAGGTTGTTGTTGTCGTCATCGCAAAACTGAGCAAGGTCGAAGTCAGTTACCGTGCCGGGAATCTTGAGAGGATCCTCGAGTAGCAGCCGTCGATATTCCACCAGATCGTCTATGGATCTTGATAGGGCAGCCTGGAACATGGTAGGGGACACTTGGATCGAATGATGGGGTCGTAGCACTAAATGCTCTTCCCCACAGCAACCAAAAAGCGTGGACCTTGGGCTCTCCGAGGGTCTCATATCTGAGAAACTTTGACCGGCCGCGAGTCCTAAAGACCCCCTCCATGTTCGTCTATTCCCATCAGGTTCTCCCAAAGAAGGCTTCCCGTGCAAATGATCATGTCCTAAGACCCCTAACCGCCGATCGCACGGCCGAGGGGCGTAGCAATCACAAACATGATCCTTCGAAACTTTGTAAGAACCCCTCCCGAGAGGGTGCAAAAGCTGTTCAAAATCTTTGACCAGGCGGAATTGCTTCTTTGCCCCCCGTCCGACTGTTTCCATTTTCAGATTCGCGCTCGCGTCATCGATGTCAGCATCACTGAACGAGACACGAAAGGAGGAAAAGGAGGAGGAGGAGGAGGAGTCCCACATATTCATCATTCGAGTCATCGTCATAGTGAGCGCCGGCTCTTCCTGCTGGCGTCCTCCTCCTCCTCCTCCTCCTCCTCCTCCTCCTCCTCCTCCTCCTCCTGCGGAATTCAATGATCCCTCATGGAGGCTCGGATTACCAGACGGTGACACGTGTCGCTTAGTCTTGACCTCCTCCTCCTCCTCCTCCTTCTCCTCCTCCTCTTCCTCCACATTATGATCAGAGTCCTTCGAAGAGGTTCCGTCACTTCCGTGCATCTGGACGGCAGGTGTGACCGGATGATTATCAAGGGGGGCAGCAATCTGGCGGTCAAACTGACTGGACAGACGGGCAGAGACCGCCTGGAATGGATCTGCTGCCATGACTCCTGTGATCGCAGCATTCCCACTCACCGTGCAAGCAGGAGGAGGAGGAGGAGGAGGAGGAGGAGGAGGTGGTAGATCTCCCTGTGTCGTTAATAACCTTTGACCAAGAGAGTGATGCGGCGAAGAAGACATAGCTGCCGCTTCATTCCTCTCGTGATCGGTGCCATTAACGTTGACGCACCAGTGACGTTCTTCGCTGATGTCGTCGATATCCATGGCCATGGCCTGAGCTTGTTCCGGATGATGGGAAGAAGAGTGCTTTCCCCGGTACCTTTGTTTCAGCAGAGAGATTCCTCCTCCTTCTCCTCCTCTTCCTTTCCCGAAAGAGGAGTTGTCCTTATGGGATCGAGGTGTACCAACGAGGACTTTTCCGTCTTCGTGGTTCTCTTCTTCGCTGCTCTCGCTCACTGCCATGCAATCAACCTCCTCGATATCGTCGATTCGGTTGCTGTCGTCTTCGTCCTCAGATCCCCTCGACGACGGTCTTCTTCGAGAACTAATTAAGGAACTACTACATGGATGATCGGTTTCTTGTGATTGCTTCCTCGATGTCCTCGTCGTCCATCTTTTGCTGCTCTTCCAAACCCCACCGCCATGTGCCTGATGACCAGAAACGTTTATCTCTTCAAACTCCTCCACGTCATCGTTGTCACAATCTGCACCTTTCACCGTCGAAGCGATCGCATCCTCTACCCTGGTAATATGTCCCCTTCCCCCCTTTTCTTCTCCTCCTCCTCCTCCGCCTCCTCTTCCTTTTCCTCCTTTCCCCTCCCTCCCTTCTCCTCCACCTCCTCTTCCTGCTGTTGCTTTCGCAGCCGCCATCAACCCTTCCAATGGACTTCCTGTGTCTGTATCAAGATAATTCGAGTACTTGTTTTCGACGTCCATCGGTATTGCCGTTGAACGGCAATCTGCTGACGTACCATCAATGTCTTCGTTCCGTCGTGGAACCATAGGAGAGCTACCAACCCCACCCCCTCCTCCTCCTTCTCCTCCTCCTTCTCCTCTTCCTCCTCCTCTTTGGTTTAATCTTACCAGTTTTGACAATTGACAGATCTTCTCATTCCCTTCTTCGTTCGTTGATGATGATGGCGGCGGGAATTCGATCTTGACGTTTCGGCTTCCATCGTCATCATGATGACACCCTCTCATTGAAGAATCGGCTCTGTTATCCAATTGGCTGAGCGATGCAGCACGTTGTCCTCTCGGCAGCAAGTCGTTTCTCTCAAGCTGACCACTTCCATCATGAACATGATGGCTATCGTCGTCCACAATCACCTCACAGATAGGACCGCCATAGCCGACAGCTTCGCCTTCAAGTACACCAGCTCCAGAGGGGTTTCTGAACTTGCTGAGCACTCTGCGTATTTTCGAAGAATGGTCGGCGACCCCGGCATCGCCATCGCCGGGGCCGCCTAAGTGGTCGGCGACCTCGGCATCGCTGGCGCCGCGTAAGTGGTCGGCGACCGCGGCGCCCCCCTTGTCACACCCTTCAACTTCGTGAAACTTCGATCGGAGAGATGGACTCACCGCCGCCGACCGCCGTCGTTCATCGAACTCGTCGTTTTCCATTCTCGGCATAGTGTTTTTTCCTAATTTGGAAAGTCGGAGTCTTGGCAGTTCCGACAAGCCCACATCTTCAGCCGCTTGCCTTGTCGTCGAGTCATCCACTCCATCGCGCATCTGTACGCGCGCAGTCCCAGCTCTTCCAAATTCCCCCTCTGCCGCCTCCTCCCCTTCTTTCTCCTCCTCCTCTCTCTCCTCCTCCTCCTCTTTCTCCTCCTCTTTCTCCTCCTCCTCCTCCTCTTCAGGGTAGCCAGCATGGTAATCATCGAACTGATCGTACGCGTTATCGCAGAGGTCAAATATCGACAATGCCCTGCCGGCGGCTGGTCGGATGCCCCGGGAATTCTCCTCCTTATCCATTTCCTTATCCTCGTTTGTCGTTTTCTGCGATGCATAATCCAGTTCGTCGTCAGGCGAATCCTGCGCCTGAGACGAAGCGGCGGCAGCAGCCGTTCTCGCGTCATTTCCGAGCACTATTTCCCTCTGCACTGGCAGTATGCTCTTCTTGTATGAAGATATGTCGATGACGTCATCAGAAAAGTTGACCCGGGGAAATTCAATGGGATAAGAAGAAGACGGCGCGCAGCTCACCACGCCGTATGATGAGTTGTCGTTTCCCCCTCTCCCGCCAAACCAATTATCCAAGACGTCATCCACGTGGACGGACATCTCCCTCTCTGCAACGAAGCAAAGATGCTCTCTCTTCCTGAAGTTATGATTGGCAGCAGCAGCTTCGATCTCATCTAGCACCCTCAAAACTGTGTCGTCGCCCCCAAAAAGTGCCGCCACTACCCCCGGAGCCGACCCACCTCCTGCAGCACTCCCCCCTGGTTCTGACTCACTTCTGTTCTCAGAGATTCCGTTCTTGTCTTCAGCAGCAGCTGCTGTGATTTTGTCCTTTTCTCCGCCTCCAACAGAAGTCCCTGGTGTCTGAATCAGGTCAGCGGTATCTGTCAGATCCTTTCCCGCCCTCCCAAGAGGGCCATCAAGCGAGCCTTTTTTCATCCGATTCGACGAAGCCGTGATCGACGCCAAGTTATTCTTAGGCAGCTTATCCACTTTGCATACATTCGAATGTTCGCCGAACGTTTCACAGAACTTTCTGTAACTCGTCCAACATAGGAATTGCCCTGCCCCCTCTTCAACCCCCCCTCCTCCTCCGCATTCATTGCCCCTCCCCTTGTCATCTTCATGAATGCCATTTAGTGCATTCTTCCCCTCCTCCTCCTCCTCCCCCACCTCCTTCCCCCCTCCCTCCTTCATCTCATTCAATCCGTTATCTTCATTCTTAATCACATGGGATCTGACGTGTACGGTGGCCGCAGCAGAAGCAACTGGAGCAACAGCACCAGCTGCCACGTGGTCCGGTTTCACCTCCTTACTGTCGCTAGCTTGCCGATTAACACTACTAGTACTATCAGGCTGCCCGGAGATCGAACCCCTGACGCGATCCCTCTGACACGTGACTTTCGCTGCAGCAGCAGCAGCAGCAGCAGCAGCTTTTGAGCCCGCTGGCGTTAACCGTCTGGCACTGGCCGTATCCTCCCTCCGCAAGAGCTTCACAGCCTCTGCCGTCGTCTTAAGTAGATTGTCTCTCATGGATTTGATCAGTTCCACTCGGACGTGAACGTTCGTGGCAGCTTCTTCCACATCGTCACGAGTGGCGACGTGATTAACAGCCACGTCATCATGACGATTAGTACCCTCCACGTGGCTGCCATCCGTCTTGTGGCACGCGGCCGTCGACGGCAGATCAAACGGAGATAGCGCCAAGCTCACGTATTTCTCATGAAACGGATTACGCCGATGGCGCTTGTGCTCCACGTCATCCACGTAAGAGTAGATCGAGAAGCTTGCTGCGCCGGCCTCGTTCGTGGACGACTTGATGCGATAGTTCATGCGAACGTTCGCTTGTTTGCCTTTGTTGTTGGTCGTGCTGTTGACCATGTCCGCCCCTAGGACAGGGTAGGAAGGGGGCCCCATCGGTATCCTGCTGGACTTCATGATGATGAACCACCGCTAGAAAACAAATCAGATACGAAAAGGATAGGATATAGGATAGCGAAGGATAGGATAGGATAGGATAGGATAGGATAGGATATAGGATATAGGATATAGAGGATATAGGATATAGGATATAGGAAAGGAAAGGAAAGGAGAAAAGGAAAGGATAGGATAGGAAAGGAAGGAAGGACTCAAAAGGGAGGAAGGAAGTAGGGAAGCGAAAGAAGCAAAGGAAATCAAAAGATAGGATAGGAAAGGAGAGACAGGATAAGAAAGAAAAAGGAAGGATATAATAGCAAAGGAAAGGAAAAGGAAGGAGGATAGGATAGAAAAGGAAATGGAAGACGGGATAGGATAGGAAAGAAAAAAGGAAGGATAGGATGTAGAATAGGAAAGGAAAAGGAAGGATAGGATAGGAAACAGATAGGAAGGATAGGATATAGAATAGGAAAGGAAAAGGAAGGATAGGATAGGAAAGGAAAGGAAAAGGAAGGATAGGATAGGAAAGGAAAGGAAAGAAAAAGGAAGGATAGGATATAGAATAGGAAAGAAAAAGGAAGGATAGGAAAGGAAAGGAAAGGAAAAGGAAGGATAGGATAGAAACGGAAAAGGAAGACGGGATAGGGTAAGAAAGGTAAAGGAACGATAGAGAAAGGATAGGATAGGAAAGGAGAGGAAGGAAAGGAAGCTAAGGAAGAAAGCAGCCACATGTGCCGGTGAATCGGTGATGGAGGAGTCTGCGGAAGCAAAAATAGCTTTCAACGACTGAGATCAGTCATCAGTCCAGGCTAATTAACTTCAGGCTCCGCTGGTTGGACAAGGAAAGAAGCAGGCTCCGCTGGTTGGACAAGGAAAGAAGAAGAAGGTACGGAGACCTGACACTGACGAACGCTCGGTGAAGACTTAATAAAGTCTTTAGAGCTTTCCATGGCACAGAGCAGGGCAGTGATCAGTTACGCTAACAGGAACGAGATCAGGAGATCAGTTCCACTACGAACGAGGTTTTGTTCAGATTAAAAATCTAAAAAAAAAAAAAAGAGAACGAGAAAACGGCCGCCTCGGCTATGGCCTTCCTCCGAATGGATTGCAGCAGGGTCATGATGCGATGACTGCATCAGCCCAATCTTTTGACGATTACCAAAACGGGGGCTGAAGCTACCGCTGTCCACGACAGATATGGCAGTTCAGGGGGGAAGGAGATGGGCGATCGAACGCATATACACCCTCGCCCCACGTGGATTCGTGTATGGGGAACAATGATGGCAATGCTCGCCCGCACCTAGACACACACGTTGTACAGATTGTACTACAGTACCGTCTTCCCCGGAACACAACGCACCCTTATTTTGGCTGCACCCCAACGGAAAGTTTGCTTTTTTTTTTCTTTTTTTTTTTTTGGGGGGGGGGGGGGGGCGGGGTGGGCTTCTCTGCACTCTATAGCCGTGCATCACAGAGGCAACGCCACAAGGGTCGAGCAAGCACGCTTACCCGGTTTTCTTTTTTCTTTTTTTTCTTTTTTTTTTCACTACACTTGACACGGTTGTGGCCCGATCATTGTGGCCCGATAGACCACGGGTCAGATATCAAACTGGTGCCGCAAAAGCGCAAGCGCGCGCAGCCATCCGGGAGCGATCCGGGAGCGAGAGCGGATCGTTAGTGCCCAATCTCAATCTTTGTTGTTCTTGAGTAACTGTATTTTTTTCCTATTGGTGATGCTTGTCCGCGCAGAAGCCCAATTTTATTTTTTATTATTAAATTTTTATTATTTTATTTATTTTTTTCCAATTTTATTTTCAGGCGTTGGGCTTGTGTTGGAAGCAGATAGCGGTCCTCGCGTACCGCTCGCGGGAGAGGCCGCTCACCACTGTTGGGAAATGCGGCGGGACCGGCAGGCGGGCCCAACAGATACCGCMTGTGTCTTTCAGGCCGCGAGCGAGCTTGCATTGCACAGCCCGATAGAGTTTTCGGGATCCGTGCCAGGCGATTCCCGAAAGTTCTATCGGGCCGTCCAATGTAAGTCCACTCGGCTATCCTGACGGTTGTCGGGGGTCCGGCTTTTTGTATTTACGCACCGAAGCAACTCAGTTCGATGCGACTCGGTTCGACGATAAGTGTTGTTTCTCGGTCCGTTCAATGTGACTCGGTTCGACGATACATGCTGTTTCCTGCGATCGCTTTGCTGTTTCGATTGGACTCTGTTGCAAGAGAGAGAGAGAGTTCGGTTCGATGAGAGAGAGAGAGAGAGAGAGAGAGAGAGAGAGAGAGAGAGAGAGAGAGAGAGAGAGAGAGAGAGAGAGAGAGAGGATAGAGGTTGGAGAGTGCAGACGGTACGATACGTGCTGTTTCTCGGTCGGTTCGATGTGACTCGGTTCGACGATACGTGCTGTTTCCCGCGATCGCTTTGCTGTTTCGATTGGACTCCGTTGCAA